TAGGTTAATACATGCGATGCTGCAGGTAAAATGTGTATGCAGGGTCCCACAAGGTACAAGCAATTATACTATAGGTTAATACATGCGATGCTGCAGGTAAAATGTGTATGCATGTGAGTTTGGGGGGCATCTTTCAATGACCTGACATTCCATCCCACTTTATATTCTATGGTTTGCAACAATAGCCTCTGGATCACTTTAAAAAAAGATGGAATATTTGTATAAAAAAAAGCGTGATTCCTTTTTTTTCTCTTAAGGCTGCACAATGGACATAGCCTTCGGGTTTGATATCTCTACGAGGATCGCAGTATCGGAGTTCTTCAGCGGGTCCGCGGGCATAAAGATTCACCTGGCTGATATCGTCAGAGCCATGACCAGCCCCCAGAGTCTCTGCTGCTTGACAGGAGATGACAAGCTGATGCCCAACGTCGGCTTCCGCCTGGTCGGCAGAGATGGAGGGATCGTTGTCGACTACAACTTTGAATCCTATAATGCAGAAGTGCTGCAGAAGCTGCTGGATGTTCAGTACAGTGGCACCACATCCTTCAACAGGCAGATGCTCCTGTCACTCCAGCAGAAACTCAGCGAATCCAAAGCAGGTGTGAAGGTGAGTGAGTGGCAGCAGGGAGCCTTATGCAACAGGTCAGAGGGTGAAGAAGCAAACACAGAATAACAAACATTGCACCAAAAGGGGACGCTTCTTGAATGAATGACTGACTGAATGAATGAATGAATGAATGTTACATTTATATAGCGCTTTTCAACACACCCAAAGCACTTTATAGAACCAATGGGGAGCCACATCAACCACCACTGCGTAGCCCCCCCCTGGATGATGTGACGGCAGCCATTCTGCACCAGTGCTCTGACCTCACGGTAGCTATGGTGGTGAAGGGGCAGGAGAGAATTCACCAATTAGATATAGGGGATGATTAAGAGGCCAGATCAGATAGGGCAACAGTGGGCAATTTTAGCCAGGACATTGGGGTACCACCCTACTCTTTCGAAAGATGCCCAGGGTTCTGCACGTTTTTCATTAAGCCACGCCTGCAATATCCATACTCAAGTTTTATTTCATTCTCGATAACACATGGACTTGTTAGAAATGTGAAGGAGGCCAGGGGTTTACCTAAAGCAGGGGTTACCAACTCCGGTCCTGGAGGGCAACGATCCAGTAAGTTTTCTATCCTACCTGGCTTCTGATGAGCCACACCTGCTCCTGGTATTTACCTGAGAACTAGTGTGGCTCATCAGAAGCCAGGTAGGATAGAAAACTCACTGGATAGTAGCCCTCCAGGACCGGAGTTGGTGACCCCTGACCTAAAGTGTAAGAACAGGAAAACTTAGCGATTCCCAGGAAATAGTGGCAGCATCGCCAGCATCTGAGGTCAGCTTATGAGAATGTCATCGTCTCTACTCAGGTCATGGTCATTTTCAGCGACGGCCTGGGCCCCACCGACGACACGCTTGAAGAACTTCTCAAGGAATCAGAGCGCCTCCGAACGGACGGTAATGAATAAATAACAACAGAGTGACACTGAGTAAGGTCTCTAGTAAGTTCACTACACAGAAGTGACAGCACTGTTTTCAATTTAAAAAAAACTGATCGAATCAATCTGTTTTAAAAAAATGTTTTTCCACTTTAAATATATAACCTAATATTAAAATGTGATACTGCAGCTGGTTGATTAAATAATAGTGATTAGTTCTGTCACCTCACACCTCCAGTTTTGTGGGTTCAAACCCTGCCTCTGCTTTGCCTATCCTGCCTGTGTTGAGCTGGTTTCCTTGTCTGAGTGACCAACATGCATTTAGGCAAATTGGTGTGTTTGTACCTGGCAATGGACTGGCATCCTCTGCAGTGTTCTGCCCAGCCTGTGATAGGCTGCCCAGCCTATGATAGGCTCCACCCCCTCCATCCCCCTCCTCCTAGCACCAGACAAGTGTTTGGAAGACTTTAAAAAATCTGAATGTGGAAATTAAAGCTTGCATATCCATAAGGAAAAGGAATTTGTTACATTTAGATCTGCCACATTGTAACTGCTCAATAAGATTAATGTGAAAACCATGTGTTGTTTTGGGAAGGCGTGCTTTCATGGCCTTATTAAACAGGATAAAGGATCAGGGGTTTTTATAAGTCATATCTTTGATTCATCAAAGTAACCTGCAGAAAATTCAAGGCATTCATTCTACAAGGGACATTAAATACTGCTCTATTTCATGGGATGAAACAGTTAACTAGTGCATTTAACGTTAAAGGACAGCGTAGAATTTCACTATGCCATCACCACACAACCACTTAATAGGGTGTCAGACATGTGCTTGTTACTTACTCTTTCTACAGGTATGTTATAAAGGAAACTTGATTTATTTGACTTATATTTTCATTTCCAGTTGTTCACTCAACTTTCCAGTGCTGAACAAGAATAAAAAAATCTACAGTTTATGAAATAAATAGAAAAGTGGTAGAAACCTGTGGTATGCACAAACCTTTGACTGGTACTGTATGAAGGTTTTGCACTGTAGTTTTTATAAACACAATGTGCTGATGCAGTGGTGCAAAAAACTTTCTAAACAGGGATCCATGGGCTGCTGGTGGTGGCATTAGGAAATGTTCAGGACTCACGACTGCAGCAACTGGAGTTTGGCCGGGGCTTTGAGTACCGGCTGCAGCTGAGTATCAACATGCAGAACGTGGCCAGCACCATGCGGGAGCAGGTGGTGAGTGGCGATGCTCAGATTCGGCCATTTTGTCTCTCTCGCGCACACTGTGAACATAAGAACATAAGAAATGTACAAACGAGAGGAGGCCATTTGGCCCATCAAGCTCGTTTGGGGAGAACATAACTAATAGCTCAGAGTTGTTAAAACCTTATCTAGCACTGATTTAAAGGAACCCAGGGTTTTAGCTTGAGCTACACTAGCAGGAAGACTATTCCATACTCCAACTACACGCTGTGTAAAGAAGTGTTTTCTCAAATTCACTTTAAAATGTTCTCCTGCTAATTTCCACCTATGGCCACGAGTTCTAGTGTTTAAACTAATATTAAAGTAGCCATTTGGCTGAACAGCATCGAGACCTATTAGAATCTTGCATACCTGGATCATGTACCCCCTTAATGTCCTTTGCGCGAGGCTGAACAGATTCAGCTCAGCTAACCTTTCATCATAAGACATTACTCTAAGAACAGAAATCATTCTTGTAGCCCTACGTTGAACTTTTTCCAAGGCAGCAATTTCCTTTTTATGGTATGGTGACTAAACCTGCACATAATATTCTAGGTGGGGTCTTGCCAAGGAATTGTATAATTGTAGCATCACCTCCCTTGACTTAAACTCCACACACCTAGAGATGTAACCCAACATCCTATTGGCCTTCTTTATTGCTTCCCCACACTGACAAGAGTGGGACATGGAAGCATCAACATACAGTACACACTGAGGTCTTTCTCATAATCAGCTACCTTTATTTCAGTGGAACCCATAAAATATCTGTACTTTATATTTCTGCTCCCTGCATGAATTACCTTGCATTTATCTACGTTAAATTTCATCTGCCAGGTATCAGCCCAGTCACTAATTAAATCAAAATCCCATTGTAGCCTCTCTGCTGCTACATCAGTATCTGCTACACCACCCACCTTGGTGTCATCTGCAAATTTAACCAATTTACTGTATACTGTATATTGGTGTCAATATCATTAATGTAAATTAAGAACAATAATGGTCCTAAAATTGAACCCTGCGGTACCCCACTATGAACGCAGGCCCACTGTGACGTTGTGCCTCTAATAACTACTCGCTGCTTCCTGTCAGTTAACCAGTTTTCAATCCAAGCTGCTACAGTTTCTAAAATCCCTGCAGCTTTGAGCCTAAGCAAGAGCCGTTTGTGGGGGACAACATCAAAGGCCTTCTGTGATCAATTTCTCTTGTAGCTTCCCCAAAGAACTCAAGTGGATTAGATAAACAGGTCCTACCTCTCCTAAATTCATGTTGGCTATCCCTCAGAATGTTATTTGAATCCAGGTATCTGTGCGTGCCTAACATTGAATTTAATCTTAATGCATTGAACTTGTTAGTGGTCACCTTAACCTCTGTGCTCTCTGCCATATTACGCAACCCCACCGCACCCAAAGTTCACGGTTGCAGCTCGGCAGTGCTGTTCGGTCATGTGCCAGTGTGTGGGCCTGGAGGGAACACGTGGCATTACGGGTTCATCCGGGACGAAGGTGAGACATCGGCCAATCGCCTGTCCCCACAGGGTCAACGATGCACCAGCTGACATTTGTAAAGCGAAGGGTCACTCTGGTCACTCCAAAAAGGGCATTGAAACAGATTTATGTTATTCTTCTAGATGTAAAGACGGAACTAATTAATGTTCTGTGAGAATTGATGATAAAATGTATGGAAGGCTAAGGGGATTCATAAAATGATGGGGTAATGCTTAAATAATTACATCTGGTAATTAAGTAATCAATTAACTGATTTCCAGTTATATTTACAACTAAGGGCAGCACGCTCTTTTATAATATTTTCTGATATTAATTTTTTCTCACTCAGGGCTCGCTGGGACCAAAAGGATACGCAGGATATCCAGGAGAAGAAGGACCAATGGTACGTTAGCGGTAGCAAACGGAAACTGTTATCTGACTGATTGCTTTTCTAGGATCTCACTCAGCTGAATTCTGCTTTCCATTGAACTAGAGCCTGGCATCCAGTGGTTCATTAGGGGTGAAAATCGTAAACTTTGTCATGATACGATTCAATTGTGATACGCAGAACGATACAATTAGATTCAATAATACATGATCAATATTTTCAATACAGTGAAACATAAGCTGATATTAGAGGAATCTATCTGAATTCAAAAAGACTTAAGAATACGTTTCATTCTTTATTTTATTAACAATGTGTTTTAAAAATGTCTCAAAAACCCAAACATGTCTGCAAAAGAAACATTCTGTCATGTACTTATACTTTAACAAGAAAAAAACAATTTCTGGAAATAGCTTACTCTCTGAAAACATAGGGACATAGGTGCACTAAAGTACATAAAATATACTGTAATACATTAATCTCTACTCTCCACTAAGGTGAGTCTCTAGATTGGTTTGTGTAAGAGATTTTTTTTTAGGCACCGTTTTGGCATATCGTCATAGTTTAATAATTTGAATCGATATTTATTGATTGAGTCAATTAAATCAAAACATAGCCATACAAATCAAAACATCATTTAGAATCAATAGAATGTTCCATGGACTGTTTTAGGCAATATTGATGGTGTGTAATAAGATTCAGTTTTTGGAGCAATAACAGGCCGAAATACCAAGACAAAGATCTATTTAAAAGCTCTGTTTTCTTTATCTGTACCGGTGTCTGTTGTTGTGGTGTGAAATCTGGGGACAGGAAATGATGTGTACTCCCTGTACCCAATGGATCCTGCACAGGGAGACAGGGGTGTCCCAGGTCTGCCTGGAACTCGTGGATTACAGGGCTGCCAAGGGAAATCGGGTGCCAAGGTAAGAACACCCCATCAGTGGGCTGTACACACCCAGGTCCTCACATCTCACAGAAAACATGGTTATTCTAAGGTCTAAGAGGGGTATTATTACACCAAAACAGAAAGCACCCAAAATTACAGGATATACAGGTAATAAACCTAGTGTCATATGGGCATGAGCATAAATTATCTGGTGATGGGGGGATTGTAAACCTCCAATAATCAAAACCAGCCAATACAACCCCCTGGACCCCCTTAAATGGATGGAGACTTCAATCCCCCAGTGCTCAAACGGATGGTATGCCCTTGCATACGGAAAAATTAGTGTTTCAGAAAGTAACGGCCATTTTCTTCACAGGGGAAGACTGGCTTCAGGGGCAGACGGGTAAGTGGTGAAAACTTGGGATGGGAAACATATTAAAATATGGTACTGGAACTAGTATCATCTAGGCACACTGATTGTTACAGTATAAGGTTATTAAGTATCATATAGGCACACTGACTGTTACAGTATAAGGTTATTAAGTATCATCTAGGCACACTGATTGTTACAGTATAAGGTTATTAATTATCATCTAGGCACACTGATTGTTACAGTATAAGGTTATTAAGTATCATCTAGGCACACTGACTGTTACAGTATAAGGTTATTAAGTATCATCTAGGCACACTGACTGTTACAGTATAAGGTTATTAAGTATCATCTAGGCAGACTGACTGTTACAGTATAGGCTTCCTAAGTATCATCTAGGCACACTGGCTACCAATATTTAATTCTGTATATAAAAAAATCAACATCACCTTTGTTTTATTACAGAAATACATTGTAAACAATAGTAATCTTTCTGATGTGTTTATGTGCTTGACTTTTTTTTTTTACATTTTGGCTAGTGCTTCCCAAAATAATTTTTCCACTTACAGAAAACAATGCACAGATGACTGTTATTCCTTAGGCAATGTGTTCTATACAGTAACGTATCTAAAATTATTGAAATATGTGTTATTTTGGACAGAAAGGCTGAACGGATTTTAATTGTGAATTTGTGTACAAATTTTCAGCACTCTTTTAAAGTGACTAAATATATATATATTTTTTTTTTTTTTTTTTTAAAAGAACAATAATAAAGTGTCAGTTCCACAATAGCCCACCACAGAAAGACAGAAACAAATTGCACTTAAATGGAAAACAATGAGATTTTCCCTCCCCAAATTTTTGGTT